TTCATTAGGGGGTTCATTCCAAGTCCTACTATATAGATGTCCATGTCTCAAAATTTATTGTAATGTTGGTACCATTGGCGGCCTCAACAGAGGCCAAGGAGTTCCGTGAGCCCAGGCAGCAGAAAACACCTTGGAGGGTTCGTGAAGCTGTCAGTGCCACCAGTTGGACTTCCTTACATTCTGAGCTAACCCAGAACATTTGGTCTGCAAAACTTAAGAGCTGGTATCTTTCGTTGGCAGCATGAAAACCACCAAGTCCTCACAAGCCATGCTGCTTAGTTGCTTGGTGGTGATGGATAAACTTTGCCCAGCATGATTTTGGGGTTCATCTTATCGGTTCCCCTGGTGGGCAGATACACAATATTCTGCATTCCACATATAAGTGAATTGCAAAAACAAAACAAAACTCTCTCTCTTGTAGGTTTATTTATGTGTGCGTGTGAATGTATATTTTAATTATGTGTATTTAACTCTTTAAAATCTCTTAGATTTTAATTTATCCTGTAAATTTCTGTATATATAATTTAATAACGAAGCCTCCACCAGCAACAGCATGTGGAAGATACAGATGTGTTATTTCTCCTTCCCTTCTTTCCTTCCTTCCTTCCCTCTTTCCTTCCTTCCTCCTGGTCTGTTCCAATAACTCTGAATCATCTACATTTTAAGGTATTTTACCTCAAAATGAATCATGTTAGGATTCTAATTCTTTATAAAGAACTTCATGGCCTTCAATAATGTCTAGAAAGTAAAATGAAGAGGAATAATAAAGAGGAATATTACCATCCCCAGCTGCCCTTATTTCCAAAGAACCAGACTTTTGCTTCCCAGTTGGAAAGAAGACAGTTGAGCACTTCAGGGTGGTTTTTAAATTTGGTATGGGAGTCTCTGCCACCACCAAGCTCTGAGTTACTGTGCTTTATTCTCCTGGCCTAGACAGAGCACTACAGCATCAAAGTAAATCTTTGGGGACAGTGTAGCCCGCCTGCATCCTATTTAATTTCTTCCCTTCGCCCCACCAGTACTGTCACAGGGCTGTGTTGCTTAAGGGTAGCCCGGCTGCTGAATCCCTTTCTCACCAGAGCAGTTTTAAGATTTAATTGGGAATACAGAGAAAGAAACAGGATTGTTTGGGAACGAAAATCAAGAGGAACAGAAGTCTTAACTTGATTTCATGTGTTAGAACCTTGTACCATGCCTCTTCTGTATCTGTAGACGTTTCCTGTTTGACACAGGGTATCTAGGAGGGGCGGGGAAGATATGGATAGTAGAGGAAGACATTAATCCTAGCGTTGTCATTTATATACATTAATGAAATCTTGACGAGGACCTGCTTTTTGTTTGTTTTCCTTTGAAACCTAGCCCTACTGTATTTGTATTTAAAATTTGTACACATTTGTATAATAATCTGTACCTTGTGGTATTTGGTACTATTAGAGGAAAAACTTTGGATTCAGACCTTCTTGCAGTTTTTATATCATTGTTTTATTTTGTTTTTTAAATAAATTCTAGTGGTTTGATCCAAATCCCATTACAGTTGTATAAAGAAATAAAATTTTGTACTTATATTATTAAAAATCACATTTTTAATATTTGTAGTCCAGTCTCAGCTGTCTTTTCCCTAATCGTGATAATCATAGTTGCTATGAAATTATAAAACCTGTTTTATTCTACCATAATTTTCTTAAGAAAAAAAGCAACCTACAATGGAGATTAAATTTCTCATCTTAGCCATTTTCCTAACATGCGCCTTACTCTGCATCTGTTAGTTTCTACATGGTAGAGGCTCTCATTTTCCCTTTCGCAAATTGTAAATTTAGCGAATCTAATAACTGTCCCTCCATTTGTTGGCAAACGAAACTATGTACATTATGGTGTTGGCCTAAATCAAGAAAATGTTCATTAATCTTATATAAGGGTTGCATCTGAATCACGTGCTAAATGATATGTTTCAGAACTGTCCTGGCTTGGTAATGCTATTGATAAGCCACTTAATCTTTACAGGCTTCCGAAGTCCCATCCGTAGAATAATGTTACTTCCCTGTCCCTAGACTTGCAGCCAGCCAGCCAGCCTGTCAGAAATGTTTAATGATAATATGAATATTGAATATTGGAGATTCAGTCTTTCAAGGTAAAAATTTCAGTGCAAACACAAGGTGTTAAAAGTCATAAATAGTGAATTAGTATGATTAATTAAAAGGTGAATGTCTTATGAAGGGCAGCAAGGAAGAAACCACCATATCACTGAGTGGCTATTAGTGAGAGTGATTTACATACTTTGTCTCACTCATCCTCCCCCAAAGACTTATGAATATTATCTCCCTTTATAGATGCAAAAAAAGTACTTTTCCTAAGTTTATACTGCTAATAAATGGCAGAGGCAGAATAAGAACGCTGGAATAGCTGACCCCAAATCCTAGGCTTTTTCTAACCCAAGCTACTTTCAGATTTAAATCATGTATATAATTCATCAGAATGCTTTCCAGTACCCCATTATCTCAAGTCCTGAGCAGATGTGACTGTAGGGAAGCCATCTGAGATTTCTGCATTGTTCAGATATCTAGCTGGTTTTCACTCTTGTCATACTATTGTCTTTAAATTTTGAAGGCAAGGTATCTTGATTTTTGTCTGTAAGAGCTTAAAGGATATAATAGCTTACATTTATGCAGACTGTCAGTCTTAAGAAATTTGAACATTTTAACCCTCAGTAAAGCATAATATTAATATTACCAAAACACTTGAAAAAGTAAATTGAAACACCGTTTATTAAATGAGTTTGCTCCTTATTAGCATACCTTTTTAAGACAGTTTTATACTAACTTAACATTTGCCATTTACATCCCTATCTACTGTGTTGACAAAATCCATATACTGGCTGGGTGCAGTGGCTCATGTCTGTAATCGCAGCACTTCGGGAGACTAAGGCAGGAGGATCACTTGTGGCCAGGAGTTCGAGACCAGCCTGGGGAATATAGCAAAACTCCATCTCTACAAAAACTAAAAATAGCCAGTCATGGTGGTATGCATCTGTAGTCCCACCTACTTAAGAGGCTGAAGTATGAGGACATTTGAGCCCAGGAGATCGGGGCTACAGTGAGCTACAATTGTACCACTGTACTCCAGCCTGGGTGACATGGAGAGACTCTTGTCTTTATAAATAAGTAAATCAACATCCTTCCATTTCTGTTTGAATAGCTATATAGTAATCAGTTTGCATGGAGTTTATGATTCCACTTCTTTTGGGGGGTATATGAGTTGTTCCTGATTTTTTCTTTTTCTTTTTCTTTTTTTTAACCACGAAGAATAAAGCTTACAAGAACCTGTTAAAAGCTTAAAGGAAGGGTCAGGCATGGTGGCTCATGCCTGTAACCCAGGGCTTTGGGAGGCTGAGGTGGGAGGATCACCTGAGCTCGGGAATTCAAGACCAGCCTGGGCAACATAGTGAGACTTTGCCTCCAAAAGTAAATAAATAAAGGTTAATGGAAGAATTCGAAAGAAGTTCATGCTAAACATACTCCATATGACTAAGCAATAAGGTTAAGTGAAGAAAGACACAGAAGGTACCTGACATGAAGGTCATCTTAAGTGGACAGCTTCCCGTTTATACTCCAAATACCATTACTGAAAGGTAGATTTTTTTAAGCTTTCATATGCTAGTCAGTGGGTTAGACAACAGTGGTGAGCAAAACAGAAATAGCAGCCCAGCCCCCGTGGAGATCCAGACTCATGGGGGCAAGGGTATTTGTGAACAGGTCTCATAAGTGTTGTGGAAACACTTCAAAGCAGTTCTTACATTGTACAGTAAAGACCATCGGGCCCCATGGCTGCTCAGACAAGTGAAGCTACAGAAGTGATTAAGTTCTTTTTTTTTTTTTTTTTTTTTTTTTTTGGAGACAGAGTCTCACTCCATCACCAGGCGCTAGGCTGGAGTGCAGTGGCACAATCTTGGCTCACTGCAACCCCTGCCTCCCGGGTTCAAGCAATTCTGCCTCAGCTTCTGGAGTAGCTGGGACTACAGGCACACGCCACCACGCCCAGGTAATTTTTGTATTTTTAGTAGAGACGGGATTTCACCATGTTGGCCAGGATGGTCTCGATCTCTTAACCTCGTGATCTGCCCGCCTCGGCCTCCCAAAGTGCTGGGATTACAGGCTTGAGCCACTGCACCCGGCCCGAGAAGTGTTTTTGTTTTTGTTTTTTTGAGACGAGTCTCCCTCTGTCACCCAGGCTATAGTGCAGTGGCATGATCTCAGCTCACTGCAACCTCTGCCCCCTGGGTTCAAGCAATTCTCATGCCTCAGCCCCCTGGGTTCAAGCAATTCTCATGCCTCAGCCCCCTGAGTAGCTAGGACCTCAGGCGTTCACCACCACACTGAGCTGATTTTCGTATTTTAGTAGAGACGGCATTTCACCATGTTAGTCAGGCTGGTTTCGAATGCCTGACCTCAGGTGATCCGCCCACCTCAGCCTCCCAAAGTGCTGGGATTACAGATGTGAGCCACCACGCCTGGCTTAATTTAGGTTTTCTATCCAAAATTTGTGCAGTTTGCTAGCCTTTCAGATTTAAAAACCGCAAACATTACAATAAATACTAAAGCACCCACAGAAGCCAGACTACTAAAGCCATGGTTATTGTATTTTTGGAGTACATGCCAGAAGAAAAGGTCATAACCCATAGATAATTATCTGGTGTGTAGGTATCAGCAGACACACCGCACACAGCCAGGAAGGCTGAAAAGACTAGAATCAACGCTGGGAAAGTCCTCTATGATTATTAGCTTGGGGTCCACGGTTGTACTTCAGGGACCCCAGAAACTCCCTGAGGTTATAAGCAAAATTGTATCGCTGCCTTTTTTCTTCGGAAAGGCTCATGGCTTTTGTGAAATTCTCAAAGGAGGCTGTGACCTGAATAAAATATGTTTAAAAAATGGTTACGAGTCCTTGATCTAATTCCAGTATCTAAAGAAAATGCGAGCTGTGTTTGGCTCACACAGAAAATTTATGACAGAGACAGGTTATCAGAGCTCCACTCGTGACTACATCTCTGTGCTTTCTGCCATCCTGGGCGCTAGCGGGAATTGCGATGCAATTCATTAAATTGCTTCTCAGTCTCAAGAGATGACAAAGCCCTTGCCCTTGCTTCTGATTTAAGGTAAGATAATTTGGGCTGCAAGCAGTGTGCATCTTGGAGCAAGGAGGCCTTGACATCAAAAAGGAAGAGTCCTATCGGGGCAAGGAGACAGCCCAGAGAGGCTGTCACCGAGGGAAGGTAGGTGTGCAGTCACAGTGAGGTTCCAAAGACTAAGGGCTAAGACACTGAGAGTCTCAGCTTCTGTGTAACCTCACCCAAGTCACTTCCCTGGTCTACGACCCAGTTTCCCAGATATGCAAAGGGTCCTTTAGACCACGCCCCTAAACCCCTTTTTAAAAGTCAGGGGCGTGGCTTAACGAGGCGCGCGCTTCCCGGGTCCCGCCCGCAGGCCCTACGTAGTGCTTGCCGCCCGCCGCCGCCGAGGAAGCCGCAGCGAGGTCGTCGCCCGCCGCCTCGGGGGCGGGACCCTCGCGCGTCAGGGCGGGGCCTGTGGTCGAGCTCCGCGGTGCCGCCGCCCCGCCCACGCCAATTCGCCGGTCTTCGGGCGCGTCACGTGACGGGTCGGCGGCGCTGGCGGTTGCTGTCAGCTGATTCCCGGGGTTGGTGGCAGCGGCGGTAGCAGCGATGGACTTTCTCCTGGGGAACCCGTTCAGCTCTCCAGTGGGACAGCGCATCGGTGAGTCCCTGGAGCCTCCCACAGGTCCGCCCCGGTGCTCCGCACCCAGCTTCGGTCCCCTGGGTGCCTCCCGGTGCCTAGTCACGGAGGCAGGGAGGGCAACGAGGCTGGCGTGTCGCTCTCCGACCTGGCTCTGCCCAGCGTTCCGCCCTCCGTTGATTGACAAGAACGTGGGCCATTAGGAAGCCTCGGCTTGTGATGGATGTATGCGACAGCCTGTAGGTGGGGAGGGAGGGCGGGTCCGGATGTCCACGGCGCAGCCAATGTGCGTCTGCTGGGGGTCCTGAATCAAGGGAGAAAGTTTTAGGGGTTAAAGGGACTGCGTTGCTGGCCGTGGCTGGGCCGCTCTTCTGGGTCCCGCCTCCTGGGCTCTGGCCGGCTCTTTCCTGGCTCACCGGGCTGTCCGGACCGGGACACCTGAGAAGGGCTAGAAGTCCCTTCTCCGAGGACCGCGGAGCCCGGGTCTAGGGGGCGACTGGCCGGAGGGGGCCCAGCGCCGGACAGCCCGCGGCCAGGCCTCGCAGACCCGGGTCTCAGGACGTGTCCGCCTGGGCTCCTTTCTCGACCCAGCCTCAAATGGAGCCGCACAGACTCCCAGAACCTGAGCGTAAGGTGGTCGGAAAAACCCGCCGGCTCAGCCCGCCTCGGTGTTCCGTAGATGGGGCAGCCGGACACTCGGGCCCAGCCGAGCCCAGGACACCTGGCGCCTGGCTGCTGGTCCGTGGTTGTTTGCACCCTGGTGACAGGAGGCTGAAGTTCTGTGACGCAGCCTCCCTGGGCCGAGGTTTCCTCTCCTGTAATTGGCGGGTAGTAATGGTTCCCACCTCCGTGGGCTTGTTGTGAAGATTAAATTCCTTAATAAATGTGAAATACTTAGAACAATGCCAGGTACGTGGCCAGTGCCGTATTAAAAAAAAAAAAAAAAAAAAAAAAAAGTAGTTATGTTTATTATCATTGGGCTGGGCGCGGTGGCTCCGCCTGTAAACCCTGCACTTTGGGAGGCCAAGGCAGGCAGATCGCTTGATCCCAGGAGTTTGAGACCAGCCTGGGCAACGAGACCCTGTCTCTACAAAAATACACATATATGCAAAAATTAGCCTGGCAAGGTGGTGCGTGCCTGTGATCCCAGCCACTCGGTAGGCAGAGCTGGGAGGATTGCTTGCACCTGGGAAGTCGGGGCTGCGGTGGGACCTGATGGCGCCACTGTACTCCAGCCTGGACATCGCAGGGAGATCTGAATCTCCTGAAACACATACACATACGTACATGTACATATACATACACATGCGTACATATACGCATATATTTACACACATACATTGTTCCTGAGATACCACCAAGTGACGATTGGGAATCCCTGGAAATTGTTGGGCAGTAGGTCTCATAGGATGCTCATTCGCGGATACCAACACCGTGAGAACCGACGTGCCTTGGCCCAAACAGCCACACTTCTCCGGGCGATGGTCTGGGTGTTCCCCATTCTTGCATGAAGAAACCATCACATTACTGTGAAATTACTTGTCATCTTTTTTTTTTTTTTTTTCCCGAGACGGAGTTTCGCTCTTGTTACCCAGGCGGGAGTGCAATGGCGCGATCTCGGCTCACCGCAACCTCCACCTCCTGGGTTCAGGCAATTCTCCTGCCTCAGCCTCCTGAGTAGCTGGGATTACAGGCACGCGCCACCATGCCCATCTAGTTTTTTGTATTTTTAGTAGAGACGGGGTTTCACCATGTTGACCAGGATGGTCTCGATTTCTTGACCTTGTGATCCACCTGCCTCGGCCTCCCAAAGTGCTGGGATTACAGGCGTGAGCCACCGCGCCCGGCCTTGTCATCTTTTTGATGATGACTTTTCATCTTATGTCCAGACTGGGAAAATTTTAAGACAAGACATTCTTTCCATTCTTACTGTCTTGGAAGCCAAACCTCACTAAAGCTTGTCGACCCAGCTCTGTGTTGTAATCGCCACTGTGGCTGTTGGTGGCTCTTCCGAGGTTTTGTAATCAATGCTCTCCAAGGGGGAGGTGTCAGTCCAGGATTTACACACCAGGAAGCTCCTCAACCGGGGAGGTGAGCTGCCCTCTCAGAAGACCCCCGCCCTCCCCTGGACACACGCCCACCCCGCAGTGAGTCATAGTTTTGGAGCTGAAAAGAGAAGGCAGCTCTCCTATTTTTCTCTGACTACAGAAACCACTGCTTTTATCACATGCCAAGTTTAAGACTTCCTAATTAAAAATAAACAAGTAAATAAAAGACCTGGTTTCAAAGTGAGCCGCATACTCTTAAGGCTTTCTGGAGAGGCTCACCTGGGTTCTGGATTTCAGTTGGTCAAAGAAAACTTCTCTTCTTACCCTGAAGGGTCGCCTTTCTTGGGCAAGAAATACTTCTGTCCAAAAAGAATGCTACTAATTCATAATACCTTAGAGCACAAATAGAATTGTACCACAAAAAGAGCCTTCCCTTGGAGACCTGACTTGGTAGTTCTCATCAGAATTCCTAGGAGGGCTTGTTAAAGCCATGATGTCTGGGCCCAACCCCAGAGTTTCTGATTTGCCAGGTCTGGAGTGGGACTCTAGAATGTGAATTTCTTTCTCTTTTTTTTTTTTTTTCGAGATGGTGTTTCACTCTTGTTGCCAGGCTGGAGTGCAATGGCATGGTCTCGGCTCACTGCAACCTCCACCTCCCAGGTGCAAGCGATTCTGCTGCCTCAGCCTTCCCAGTAGCTGGGATTACAGGCATGCACCACCACACCCAGCTAATTTTGTATTTTTAATAGAGATGGGGTTTCTCCATGTTGGCCAGGCTGGTCTCAAACCCCTGACCTCAGGTGATTCACCCACCTCAGCCTCCCAAACTGCTGGGATTACAAGTGTGAGCCACCGCTATGGCTAGAATGTGAATTTCTGGTGAGTTCCCAGGTAATGCCAATGCTGCTGGATTGGAGACAACATACTGAAAGCCTGTGTTCCAACCCATCCCCTTTTACACTGGCGGAGACTGAGGTCCCGAGGGGAAAAGTGGAGGCTGTGACTCACCACGACCCCAGTGAATTGACAGCAAAACTGAGCCATTGAAATCTGGACCAAAGCTGAAGAGGCTCCAAAAGTAGAATTAAATGAAGAGTTTGAGTTAATCCCCTCAGTATTCCATATTCTTTTAGATAAAGAGGCGGAGGAAGTACTGCTCACTGGCTGTGATTACTGATGACACAGTAAAGCTGCTTGTAATTCTGTAAACTAGGCCCCTCTGCTGCAGGAGTGCAGTCTCTTCTCAAGCCTGCCGGCTCCCATGCCCTTGTTGATAGCAGAGTTGTAGAGCAGTATGGAATTGACATCCCTCAGATGGCAGGTTCGAATGATGCTAATCAGGAATGAGTGTCAGTCACTCAAATCACAAAGTTCTCATCTGCTGCCCCCCCCAACTCACTCTCTCTCTCTCTCTCTCTCTCTCTCTCTCTCTCTCTCTCTCCTTTGTGCTTGCTGGTCCCTCTGCCTGGGTTGCTTACTCCTGTGCCCCCAGAGAGAAGCTGCAGATCACCCTTCAAAGTACAGGGCATCATCACCTCCTCCCTGAGGCCCGCCCCAACCCCTTTGGAACCAGACATTGCTCTTTTATTCTCCCATTATCCTAGGTCCTTGGGTCCCCTCAGTCTATGACTTTGGGCTCTGAGTCTCAGCTTCCTCCTTGGTAGAATGTTGCTAACAGCATCTGCCTCACAGGGTGGTTGCTAGAATGAAGCAAGATAGTCCTCTGAGTGCCTGGCACGGTGTGAGTGTGTGGAAATGTTAGCTCTTCTCTTCATCGCCATCATCATTTTTATTCTCTCTCTCTCTCTCTCTCTCTCTCTCTCTCTCTCTCTCTCCCCCCCCCCACCCTTTGAGGCGGAGTCTCTGTCGCCCAGGCTGCTGGAGTGCAGTGGCACAGTCTCAGCTCACCGCAACCTCTGCCTCCCGGGTTCAAGCAATTCTCCTGCCTCAGCCTCCTGAATAGCTGGGATTACAGACGCATGACACCACACCCAGCTAATTTTTGTATTTTTAATAGAGATCTGGTTTCACCCTGTTAGCCAGGCTGGTCTTCAACTTCTAACCTCAAGTGATCTGCCCGCCTCGACCTCCCAGAGTGCTGGCATTACAGGCGTGAGCCACCACACCCTGCCTATTTTTGTTATTTCTACCCTCATCATACTGATAGGCCACCATCCCACTCTGTTGGTGGTTGTGCATGTCCACCTCCTCATCTAGGCTGAAATTCTTGAGAGCAGGAACTGTGCCTTATTTCTCCAGACCCTCAGCACCTAGTACAATGCCTGGCACATAGCAGGAAGGAAGAAGGGAGGAAAGGAAAGTAACATTTTGTGAGGAAACACCATCATACCTCCGCCAGGGATGCTAGTGTCCTGGATATTGATCACGTGGTTACCCGATGCGGTTTTGCTATTTTTTTTCCCCATTTCACCAAAAGTCAGTCTAAGGGAAAGCATCACCTTCCAGCGTTCCACAGCTACTCAGGGTCAGAATCCAGACCCAGGTCTTCTCTTGTATCCTCACCTCATTGCCTCGAGTTGTCCAGGGCTTCTTTTGAATTTATGTCAGTCCGGCCCTTCAGGATCCACTACTCTTGTTCTACCCCCAGACAAGGACATGCACATGGGTCCACACACTTGCGGGTCCCCCTATCCCTGTGGATGAGTAGGGGAGCTTCCCAAGGACAGCGCCCGTAGCTGGGAGGATCCTCAATCCTTTGTACCAGCTGGTGTTGCCACAGCCCACTTCTTTCAAGGATTTCAAACCCTTTTCCAGGTATTCTCTGAGGACAAATCTTACTGGCTCTGGCTTCTTTTTTTTTTTTTTTTTTTTGAAATGGAGTCTTGCTCTGTCACCCAGGCTGGAGTGCAGTGGCGCGATCTCTGCTCACTGCAACCTCTGCTCCCGAGTTCAGGAGATTCTCCTGCCTCAGCGTCCCGAGTAGCTGGGACTACAGGTGTGTGCCACCACGCC